CTCGAGTCAGTTCCCTTCTTCCACCATGAGCCTCAGGGATCAAATGTGGCTCGTCTGAGCAGTAAGCATTTCTGCTCACAAAGCTAATTTCCCTCAGTTCCCAACAAGGATGGGTAGATCACAGGGTATAAGCTATGCTTACAGCCATCATCTAATACTCAGGAGTCTGAAGCCAAGTCTGCCGCTGGCTGAAGCTTCTTCAGTTTTGTTCATGTGATTTGATCCTTAATATGCAATTAACTGGACCAGGTTAGAGATCGTGTTTTAGAAGAGTTCCTAAATATTAGCCCAATAAAAAATCTCAAGGCATTTATCATTATTTCAAAACATCCAAAATTATTATTATTATTTATCTGTCAAACTTTCTTTACCTGTTTTCATAAACATGTTTATATTTATAAGTGAGAATCATCTTTTACAGTTTCCTGAATTCCAAAATTGTAATAATTCACAGTCACTCTGGGCCCTAGATAGTGACAGATAGACCCAGCTCCTCCCATAGATCCTAGAGTTAACAAGATGGAATATATAAGCAGTGTCTGCTCTGCCCACATTGTATTCCAGAATTGATTTGGGGAAGTTGGAAACTGTAAAATAGGCATTATCTTCACATAGGAAACACTGTTAAACTCTTAAGGAAGTCATAATAAAAACATTCAATTCAATAGTAATAATATTTTGGAAAAGATTATATATATAGAATCCATGGAATTAAAAATAATACATCATTTATGTAAGACATTACATATTCTCTCACACATCCCCTAACATATCAGGGACCTGTTATAGCTAGTTTTTATGTCTCTGATTTTAGGCATTTTTATTAAAACAGCCCTGTTTTAAATTCACAACTAACTATATTATCATTTCTCTATCTTCTTTTCAGCCAACTCACTTTATAAGCTTTCATATTTTCATTTATAATTGGTACTTGGTCATATGATTTCTTGGGAATGATACTTGGTAATAATGATAAATTTTCATGTTTTATCACCAAAACAAAACAATAAAATAGTTTCAAGCCCGATGACTTGGGGTTAGGGAGGTTTTAGAGGGAATCATCAGGTGTTACTATTTTGGATTAGAATATCCCTACAAGGTTATCTTGTGGAAATAATTTCTTGAAAACATCTTTCAAGGTCCTACTCTGCTCAGCACCAAGAAAGCTTCCCAGCATGCTCTTGGGTTTGGGAGGGACAGAGCAAGTCTGTATTTCATCTTCCATGACCTAATTCCTGATCCCTGTCAGGTCCAAGTGACATGGTCCCAGCCTGTCTTTCTAGATTTCCCACCTCAGTGGACCAGGGCTTCAAGCTCAAAGGTGATGTTCAAGTTGTCTGTGCCGTACAAGTCCTCATAATACTTACCCCTTCTCTCTGTGCTTTCCATTTCTGCTAAGAGTCCTGTAGCCATTCATCACCACTCAATCAGTCCATGCATGCAAGGGTTGTATTTTTCTTCAATATTTTTAGTTGCTATCTGCAGAAGGTTGGGCCTGTGTGTCCCACTGTCATTAACTAGAAATTGAGATACACAGAAACTTTGCAATGGCCTTGTTCCATGCATGTGCCTAGTGTTCCTCCATGCATGCAGTTTGACATCTCCACTTTCTCCTCTTTTTACATTCTACTCTTGCTGGGAAAATACATTATTCCTTCTAGTTCAGATTTCCAAGAAGTAGAACTAGCCCATCTCCATTCATCGTTTACCCATAAGCTATGATGTATCCACTGCCCACCCACAGGCAGGTTGAACATGAAGACTGAATGGAGTCATGCCGGAGAGCAAGTGTTGGTGTTGAATGGCACTGTTTGTGGAAGTCCTTTCTGTGTTTGCTTGTATTGACTTACCTGAGGTAGATGGTATAGGTATTTTATCACTTTCAGACCTGAGGTTAACTAATTTTCAGCAGAGCTTGGTTAATTGTTCAGGTTTTTGATAGACAGGAAAAGAACTGAACCTAAAGCCTACTATCTGCCTGTTCCTCAGGACCCTCCATCTTACACTTGGGTTATGTCATGAGCATTTGTGAGTGCTCAGAAGGAATGAGTCAGTGGAGGCAGACAGGCACAGCACTCATCTGGGGACTCTGGACAGTTTCTACCTCTCTCGTGTGGATGGAGATTGTGAACATGGGGAAAGGAAAGAAGGCTGGGCAAGTGAGGAGTGACTGAATTTTCAGATTGTTTCAAACTCCCTAACTTCCTCTGTTCATTTGATGGTAGTGCTGTGAGTTATATAATGAAATTGTGGGCATCTCTGTAAACATGAGGCCTTTTTTCTAGGCATTTCTAATTCAATTGTATATATCTTATACATGCTCTGTGTATATGGGTAATATATTTAATTCTGCAATATGTTGTAGATAGATTACAATCAGATCTTTACATAGTCATGGTGACCATCTTCTCTTGTTTTACAGTTGTATTTAACAGGCTTTTTAAAATCTGTGTTAGGTAAAGACAGGAGTGGATAAGGTGACTCCTCAAAGGATCCTATAAATGATATTATGACTCACAGCTGAGTGGCTTTGAGGGCTGCTGACAGGTTACCATTTACTGTGGGGCACTGATATCAGGTTTTGATGGCTCAGGTGAAAGGTGGGTGGGTGGGTATAAGTTTTGCTCCTAATTGAGCAACTGTCTTAGGGTGTCTATTGCTGTGAAGAGATAACATGACCTCACCAACTTTATAAAGGAAAACATTTAATTGGTATGGCTTATGGTTCAAAAGTTTAGTCCATTTTTAGCATGGTGACATGGTGCTGGAGAAGGAGCTGAGTATTCTACATCTTGATCTGAAGGCAACAGGAAGTGGACTGAACTAAGTGTAGCTTGAGCATAGGAGACCTCAAAGCCTGCCACCACAGTGACACACTTCTTCCAACAAGGCCACACCTTCTCCAATAAGGCCACACCTCCTAATAGTGCTATCCCCTATGAGCTCATGGGGGCCAGTTACATTCAAACTACTACAGCAGCCCATCCACCATTTGCAAACTCCTGAGCCCTGCTCCTTAGGGCCCGTCTTCCCATTCCTTACTCCCTTTCTCCCAAGGGATCCTGTCCATCCTAAAGAGTAAAAAGGGAAACGCTGTTCCCTCTCAGTCTTCCCCAGTGCTAGTTACGTACATGTGTCTCCTCCATTGACTTCTAAGAGTTAACCTTCTGAAAACTAAAATGTAAAAGTTATTCCTATTTCTATATTCTCTGTTTTTGTGGGCATGCTATTTTATCTCTTCCCTAACATCAAAAATACAGACTTTCTAGAAAATAAAAAAGGAAAAGATCCAAAATAGAAAAAAAATGAGAAAAGAGTAATAATGTTTTTATAGAATCATTCAGACTGATACAAAGAGGAAGAATCATTATTCAATGTACTAATTAGTCACTGTCTTTTCTAGAATAAATGTAGATATTCCTATATCATTTATTATTTCTTAATGGTACATGAATTATATAGATATATTCCTACTTTACATTTTTTTTTCATACACCAAAGACAGGAGGCAACATATAAGCAACATCCACATTCTCCCACATGGAAATCAACAGATTGCATCTCTCTTGTAGTTGTAAAAACGGATGCAGCTTCAGAAACTTGCTCAATGCCCTTTCTACAAAGGACACACTGGTTTATATACATGATGGGCAAGACTTTGTCCAAAACGTATCACAAACTATTTCTGTTCCACATGGGCCTCACTGAGTTAACAAAGCTTCCCACTTCTGGCTTTTCATACAGAGTTCTAAAGAGATTGAGGAGGATGTCTGTTCTCCAGGACCATTCCAGGTGGAATGGATGCTGGGGTTCTTTTGGCATGGGAACCAAACAGGGTGTTGACGGGAAGGAAGTAGGTAGGCCTCCTCTCTAGAGATGCTTGAAGTTTGGTATTTCCTTTACATGTGTGCAGAGAGATGGAGGGAGACAGGCAGGAAAGATAGGATCTAAGCTAAGACACTGAACCATGACTGCGGGGTAGTCTTTCTGACCTTGGAAAGGTCATCTGTAATTCTCTGAGAGAACTTAAGAGGGTGACTGAGATGAAGGGCTATGAGCTGTAGAAATCCCTTCCTGTGTTACTGGATGGGGTGAGCATGAGAAAGAGAGCACAGAAAGAAAACACACTAACTCCAGAGAAGATGGCGAGCAGAAGAACAGGACACAGGGAAGACTGGAAGCCCAGTCATAAGAGGGCAGTTCCAGGCAAGCACTGGCCGGCCTGTTACTTACCATGCTATGTCTCTTCACAAATTACATAGAAAAATTTCACCACCGCCACTGAATACCCTTTTCTACATTATATCAAAGTGGTCAGCTCTCACTAATTGAGCACTTACATTGTTCCCGGCACTATACTGAGTCTTTTACAAATGTCAAGTGCTTTCTCCACTACAAATCTCCAAAGTGTGTTCTATCTCCCTTTTATGACTATGGACCGTGAGCTCAGAATTTAACCCTCCGCTTCAGCAGCAGAACACTGCCGTTGGGAACAGTCCTCTGGAAAGGCACACGTCTACTGGTGATGATGTGTCTGTGTCTTCCCTTCCCCGCTGGGTGTTTTGAATGTGACGCAGGATAGCACCCTTGTTGGATATATTGAAGGGAGAGACAGAGGAGAAGCTGACAAATGTGTTCATTTCTGGCCAAAGATTATGGTTTTAGCAACCACTCGTGCCCCAGTGGATGCACCTGGCCTGTATAGCAGGCACATGTCCATCACTCTCTCTTTGGAATTACTCCACAAAGAAGCATCCCAGCTGTGTCCTCATAGTGATGGTATGTCATCAACACACTCTCAGTTGGGTTTCCAGATACTTTTAGGTCTATAGACAGGCAAGGCTGTGAAAAAAAAAATTGGCAACATGGAAGGCGCCAGCAACCTTCACTGACAAAGGTCTCAGAGCAGCAAAGAACAGGACATAGAATGGAGACTCAGTTCTGTTTCTCAGGGTTTATGTCACTGTGAAAAAATGGCCAACATTAACAAGGTTGAAAAGGTTTATTTTAACATACAGGTTGGGAGGGTTCAACCCATAGTCTTTGGCTCCATTGATCCTGGGCTTGTGATGGTGTAGGCCATGACGGTGGTAGGAGTGTGTGGCCGAGACTACTGCCACCTCAGGGTGAACAGGAAGCAGAGGCAGAGGCATGGAGAGGCCAAGAAAGACACACCCCACTGATCTTCCTGCTAGACTCCATCTTCTAAGGTTTCTAAAGCCCCCCCCCCCAAAAAAAAAACAGTATTAGCAGATGGGGACTAAGTTCCCAATACTTGATGAAGTAGTTTTCTTGTTTTGTTTGTTTGATTTTTTTTTTAGGGGAGCACTTCATATCCAAACCATAACAAAGGTGATTAAAGGGTAAAACAGAAATGCTCAAGTGAGATAAAGCTCACAGTAATTTGCATATATGAAAATATGAGGATTAGAAAGAAACATGTAAGAGTGTAGCTGGCATATATACTCCTATATGCTCAATAAATGAGAGGTGTGATCATTTCATTAGAAGTTTGAGTGAATAAAAAAAGATTTTATTCTATTCTGGAGAAAAGCCCAAAATGTATGATTTGATGATTTCCTATTTTTAATTTCAATATTTACAGCTGACATTTGATATTTTCATATTCAAAACATTTAAGTGTTGTAACATGTTTTATTAGATGTCTTTTTAGTATCTAATGATATTTCACATGAAATTTCTGTTTATCTCCTTCATTTCACACAATTTTCATTTTCTAATTTTCTTGTTTAATGTCTCTGTCTCTGTCTCTGTCTCTGTCTCTCTCTCTCTCTCTCTCTCTCTCTCTCTCTCTCTCTCTCTCTCTCTCTCTCTCTCTTCCTTATTATTTCCCAAAATATTCCTGAGTCCTTTCTCTCTCACAGTACTTGGCCCTTTTTTTATTTCTGCTTTTCAACTCCAGTCAGCTAACCTCAGCTGGCTAGCACGTTCATTCACTTCTCATGAAAACCTTGTTTCTGGTTGCTTGCTCCCCCAAGCTTCCTGGTAAGGTTTGATTCATAAAAGTAAAGTTGCTTTACCAGAATTCATACAGTTTATGTTCTGCTAAGGAAGGAGTCCCACAGTGACAGGTAAATAATTTTAAGAAGCAATGCTTCCTATAAAGGAATGGGAAGGGGGATTTCAGAGGAAACGTTTTGGGATTCTAGAAAGACTTTTCTGAGAAAATTCTAGATGAACCCTAAAGGACTTTGGGTTATCCCAGATACTAACAAGAGGACAAGGGCTGTGAAGCATCGTGTTTTTGCAGTTGTGCCCATGTATACATGTTGTGTATGTATGTGTACGTGTTGTGTATGTGTGTGTACGTGTTGTGTATGTTCGTGTTGTGTATGTACATGTACGTGTTGTGTATGTGTGTGTATGTGTTGTGTATGTATGTGTATGTGTTGTGTATGTATGTATATGTGTTGATGTGTAGCTAGCTGCACGTGTGTGGAAGTCAGAGGACAATGCTGAGTGTCATTACTCAAGCACCTTGAAACGTTTCGTTTGACATGGGAGCTCTCATTAGCCTGGAACTTCCCTGTGTGGTCTAGGCTAGCTGGCCAGTGATCCCCGGAGGGTGCCTGTCTCCCCTCCCATCTCACCATCATTGGGATGACAAAGGTATGTGGTGTGCCTGGCCTTTTATGTGGAGTCTAGAACTGAGAGCGCTTTGCCAGCTGAGCAATTTTCCTACTTTTTCATGTAGTTTGGACTCTGAACTTTCCTGGTTATCCGCCTAAGCCATCCAAGAATCGATCTTTATGCATCTGTAAATTACCTGTGCTGATAACTGGCTTATTTTATACCTTCCTGGCATCTCTATGCCATCTAGTTTTCTTCTCCTCACTTAAGGTGAGTGTTCTGTGATCTTTCCTTCTCATTATTTTGTTAACTACAGTTTACACTTTTTTTTAGTTGTTTCTGTGTCTTTCTTAAGGTATGCTTTTGAGTCCTGCTTCCTCTTGCCTCAACTCTCCATATTCTCTTCTTTCTCAGCTCATTTAGCTGCCCACTGTTTGCCATTGAATTTGTGTGTGTGTGTGTGGGGGGGTCCTTTGTACTTTTCCCTACCCATCAGCCAGTATAATAATATATCCTGCTGCAGTAACATGTCAAATAATGTAGAGAAGCGCATCCCTTCATTCCCATGAAGGTGGAACTTTGTAAAACTTCTATGTGATTTTTCTGTATTTGTGTTTGGGAGATTAACTCATCTGTCCTTGATAAACTGGATAACAACGATTACTACAAACATCAGACCGTGAAATCTAATGAACTTGGCACAGACGGTAAGACTGGCATTAGCGCTTATCTTGAAACAGAAAGTTTTTTAGCCATTACAAAGAGAATGTCCTCCAACTTAGTTTTCAGAGCAGAGTTTGGTGAGTCCTCATGTTTATAACACTTCTCCTCTGGGATAAATCTCACAGCTGATTATCACAGAAGTTGGCATGTTGCCAGAAGTAGGTCTAGGAACAGTGTCCTGTCAATGCACAAACTAGTGAAATGCCAGGAATTTTGGAAGCCCAAGAATGATGAGTAGTTAGTAAAGAATAAACAACACTAAAGGATGGAGCATTGCCTCAAATAGTGCAGAAAAGAATTTTCCATGAGTTAATATGAGTATGGACCTCGTTATAATCCAGGGTGTGGGCTCCACTTGGTAATTTATGTTTTGTTATATTGTTGGAAAACATTTGACTAGTACAAAGTATGTCATTTAGTGTTTAAAAGAAATAAACACTTCTATTATTCAAAGGAATACATTTAGAATCCTGCCATCAGCATACACTTTCATTTATAATTTAATAGAAATTTGATATAGAAAAATAAAAACAGTAATAAATCGAGGAAAGTAAAATCATTGGCGTGAAAAACCTGGAATTGGAAGTAATGTTATCTAAACAGAATGTGAAGGTGCCGTGCCTGCCTTTTAACAGAACCCTGATGCAGTCACTGTAATAGGACTCATAGGACAGAAAGTTCTAGAAGGCATCCCATTTAAACTTTGTAATATTTTAGAATTCTAAGACAACTCTTATTAGAAAAAAAAATCATTGGATAATGGCAATGTTCTTCCTGTTCTAACGTAGCCTAGGGAATGGAAATTCCTACAGTGGTGGGGGTCGGGGTGGGGGGGGTGAGGGATCTTTATTTAACCCACTGCTTGCCCAAATCAATTCTGTGGTCAGAGTCCACCGACTAGCCATATGTGTTGCCACCAGCCTGTAACCAGCACATCGGAGGTTAAAGAAGGATGGTCACAATTCCCAGGATGATGAAGAGTTTCAAGAAAATAAGATAGGAAAATTCACTTTTCTGAAAACCGTAAGTGAAACTATGCAGGAAAGCAGGTTTTTTAAATTACCAAATAACAACTAATAAAATATCTTTAATTAGTGGTCAGCCTAAGCCACACAATGAAACTTTGTCTCAGAATAAAAAAGCAAACAAGCAAGCAAATAAACAAACAAAACTCAACCCACTGCCAGCGAAAGTAAGTTTGCATGTCTATAACTACTTCAAATACTTTTATTATTATTTGATATTCTGAGAATTACTTTTAGTGCATAGTTTTTCTCTTAGGACTTTCAGGGAAGAATTTTGATATTTATCCTGTATTTCTTTAGTGTTATTCTACTTACATAACACTTACATGTGAAGTAGATCAGGACCAATCTACTAATGTGCGATGTTTAAATGGATGTGCGAAGTAACATGTACTGACTTTTCTGATTACAAGTAATTTGAATTAAAAAATAGATGACTGAAATTAACCAATAATTGGTTTTTCCTCTTGAATTCTGTTTTTAAAGCTCAGTTTCCTGTTAGTGGTGTGCAGACCACATGCGCACTTATGTATAAGCATACACAAAGACAAAATACCTAGAACATTATGGTTGAAACAAACGTTTCTCTTTTGTTACTTAAGGGTTCCTTTAACAAAACCAAACCAGTCTCTTTTTAAAATGAAAACTTAGCTCTCAGAAAACATGAGCCCTGCCAATACATGACAACAGTCAAGCCTGAGACATTCAAAACCACATTGAAATGGTCATCCTTGGTGTATGTCATGGTGAAGTTTACACATTACTGTATGAAATTCCTGCTGATATGAAAGTAGTATTTATACACAGCAGTATTTTAGGAGTCGGCATATTAAGACAAAATGCAAAACAGACGTACTAAGGCACTTAAGCCCAATGTCTTCCTGGGTTTCCAAGGTCTGAGTCTTTGGGTATTGTTCTATTATGAGAATTGTTTAATTTGTAAAAGTTCCTGTCACTTGCCAATTTTTCTTGAATTCAATTACACATGTTAGGTGGATGTCAGGTGTTCTGGGGCGGGGGAAGGGAATTCATATGCTCCCTCATTGACACATACATAAAAGACAGCATTTGCAGATGTTTTGATAATGGAAGGGTTCAAATCATTTGTCCTAAGGCAGTATTTGTAGTGATACTTTGATCAGTTTCACAGTGGTTAGTTAGACCATTTTTCCCGCAGAAATTACCACATGCCCCTAAAGGACAAGAGAAATATTATGTGAGAAAATTGGAAAACATTCGATTGGCATGATTCAGCAACTGAACCAGAATGAATTGGACTCAATCTGATTTCAACTGCTTAATGTAAGGTGTTTAATACTGCAGTAAGACAAAAGATGCCAAGAGATAAAATCCTCATCAATCATAAAAGTGTCTCTGCTGGGACAACATGCCGAGACCTTAATTCTGATTTTTTTTCCCATTTAAAAGGTTGCAGATGTCTTCTTCACAATTATTTATAGTTGCACAGTGTTCTTTTCTGTCTTATGGACATAGATTTATATAATTCACTTTAAAAAAAAAAAAACAGGAGTAGACTTTTAATATCCCTTTTACAGTAGGGAATTAAGAATGCATTTAACAATTACAATAGCTTTAAGAATAATAAGGTGGTAAATTACGAACCTGGGATGTAGATTCTTCTGACCAAAGCTCAGGGGTCGTCAAGGAAGAGGGAGAGGGAAGATTGGAAGAGCCAGAGGCAGTGAATGCTTCAAGAAAACAGCATTTTCTGGACACAGTAGGGCAGTTATATATACAAACTGACAGCAGTTGAGATAGCACACACAAGACCTGCGAACTCAAGCCAGATGAAATCCCAACATGGAGGGGAAAGGCAGGCATGGAGATCCAACCTTAGCCAAGGAGCTACTAGCA